CTCTGAGTCATCTTCGTGTTTCTCGCTAGAGACGGGCTTCCTCCACATGGTGAGACAGATGGCTCCCCAGAGTGCCCAGGTTTCAAAGAGGGTGACTTTTGGGGCAAGAGGAAAGGGGAGGCACCCCCCACCTCCGTCCTGATCGTCGCCGCTGTGACTTCAGCACCTTGGCACCCGCGAGCTGGGTAGCTCGGTGGGGAGGGGAGCCGAGTTCTTCAGATGAACCACTGATGGAGGTTGAAGCTGAGATGCTCACAGGGTCAGCTTGCAGGGCGAAGGGGACCTTGAATTCAGAAGGGGACCCGCGCTTGGGTCCTGACGCTCTGCAATCGCCATCATGTTTTGTTTTTTTTTTTTAATATTTATTTATTTGGCTGTACCAGGTCTTGGTTGCAGCATGTGGGATCTAGTTCCCTGGAAGTGTTAGTCGGTCAGCCATGTCCAACTCTCTGCCACCCCATGGACTGTAGCCCAGCTGGCTCCTCTGTCCATGGGATTTCCCAGGCAGGAATACTGCATTGGGTTGACATGCCCTCCTCCAGGGGATCTTTCCAACCCAGGGATCGAACCTGGGTCCTTGTTCTCTGACCAGAGGTCAAACCCTGACCCCTTGCATTGGGAGCACGGAGTCTTAGCCACTGGACCGCTAGCAAAGTCCTGGCCATCGTGAAGTTCTTCTTATGCTGTTTTGTTTTTTATTTTAACATACTAGTCCATCCTAAAGGAAACCAACCCAGAATATTCATTAGAAGGACTGATGTTGAAGCTGAAACTCTAATACTTTGGCCACCTGATTCGAAGAGCTGACTCATTGGAAAGGACCCTGAGGCTGGGAAAGATTGAGGGCAGGAGGAGAAGGGAATGACAGATGATGAGATGGTTGGATGGCATCACAGACTCGATGGACATGAGTTTGAGCAAGTTCCAGGAGATGGTGAAGGACAGGGAAGCCTGGCGTGCTGCAGTCCATGGGGTCGCAAAGAGTCGGACAGGACTGAATGACTGAACTGAACTGCATGTGTATTTATCTATTTGGCTGTGTCAGCTCTTAGCTGCAGCCCCTGGGATCCTCACCGAGTCAAGCAGGGTCTTCCACTGTGGCACACGGACTCTCCAATTGTGGCATGTGGGCTCAGGAGTTGCAGCTCGAGGGCTTAGCTGCTTCACTGGCATGTGAGATCTTAGTTCCCACACCCGGGATCGAATCGGCATCACCTAAACTGCAAAGCGAATTCTTAACCACTGGACCACCAGGGGAGTCCCAATGGTGAAGTTCTTAATCTTATATCTCTGTGCTTTCTTGGCAGGTTCCAATGGGACCATGGAGCATATGCTGAGAGCGTCTGCATCCCCTAGCCTCGCTGCCTCCCTGCTTCCCCGTATTCAGGCTGCTTTAGCAAAATGCCGCAGCCTGGGGAGGCTGGAACAACAGACGTCTGTTCTCTCACACTTCTGAGGACAGAAGTCCACAGTCAAGGTGTGGGCAGCGTTGGTTCCTCGTGTTCCACGCCTCTCTCTGGCATCTGGTGCGTCCCCGGGGGGGAGCGTTGGCGTTTCTTGGCTCCTAGACGCATCACCGCGACCTCTGCCTTCAGCATCACATGGTGGTCTCTCCCGGTGTGCGTGTGTGTCCCGGGTTCCCCTTTGACAAGGATGCCGTCCAACCGGTTGAAGGCTCACCCTACTCCAGGATGACCTCATCCTCTTATTGATGTGCAATGACCCCTCTGCAATAAGACCACATCTGAGCTACTGGGGGTTTGGGACTTAAAGATGTGGGTTTGGGGGGTAGAAAAGTCAACCGGTAACAGTGTGCTCTGGTGTGTGATTGTGTATGTGTAGAGGCTGTGTGTAGCTCCCTCAGTGGATGTGTTAGAAGAGTGTGTTTGGCAAGCTCTATTTTTTATGTTTTCTTTCTTCTGTCTTACAATGAACGTGGAAACAGGCTTTATGTTTATTTCCTTCCTTTTCAAAAGCAAAGTCATAGTTTGGATATAGTTAACAGGGCAAGTCCATACAGAAAAAGTCTTTTATTTGTAATTTATGAAAGCCCCGTGTTTGAATTTTTCTTAATGAAACCCTTTGGCAAGCCTTATTGTTATGCCCACTGTTGTTATTTTTATATGGCAACAATTGTAACATCAAATATTGTAATTTGACTGATGCTGAAGCTCCAATACTTGGTCTACCTGATGCGAGGAGCCAACTCGTTGGAAAAGACCCTGATGCTGGGAAAAATTGAGGGCAAGAGGAGAAGGGGACGACAGAGGAAGAAACGGTTGGATGGCATCACTGACTCAATGGATGTGAGTTTGAGTAAACTCTGGGAGACAGTGAAGGACAGGGAAGCCTGGCATGCTGCAGTCCATGGGGTCGCAGAGAGTTGGACATGACTTAGCCACTAAACAACAATGACATCAAAATACTGTAGGGTGATTATAGTTCAGTACTTTCTAATTCATCTGTATTTTAGTTAATTAGTAGAGATAGGTGCATGCGTGCTTGCTAAGTTGCTTGAGTCGTGTCCAACTCTTTGTCACCCTATAGAGCATAGCCCACCAGGCTCCTCTGTCCTTGGGATTCTCCAGGCAAGACTACTGGAGTGGGTTGCTGTGCCCTCTTCCAGGGGATATTCCCCCCAGGGGTCGAACCCATGTTTCTTACGCCTCCAACAGTGGCAACTTTAAACCAGAGCCAGCACTGCTATCAGTGCTTCTTAGAAAAAGACAAATCCCTTTAACTCTGACCATCTGATGTCCTTTCTGCTTCATCTCTGGATATCCTGTCTATCACATAGCTACCATTTTTGGACAGAAAGATACCAATCACATCCTCTGTTATTATTCCTGATAACTGGCCATGCGCTAACCAAAGATAAGGCTTGGGGGTTTTCTCCTTTATGTATTAGCTGTAGTGACTGCATGAGCAGAATCTTGGCTTCTTCATCTGTTTGGTTTTCCTGAGGTTCAGGTTATAAATGAAAGGCAGGAGAAACGCTTGCTTGCTTTCTTTGGCATTTAAAATTTTTTAAAGTTGTGTTTCTAGCATTTTCCAAAGATAGCCAGTAATATCTTTTTCTAAATTGATCCAGTAAGTAGGAGCCCTTTCCCCACCCCCACCCCCAGCCTTTACCTCTTTGGCTGAAAGTCTGCAAGGCTGTGAGCCTAGACTCGTCACTATCAATTCCAGACTCAGAGGGACAGCTGGTATGAATAATAATGATAACACAGAAATAGAATAGATGAGAGACGTAAGGGAAAAAATAGCATTTGGGTATGTGGATATAGTTGTCTGAGGCTATCTCCAGCATCTTTTCCTTAGTTTGGTGACGTGATTCGGTTCCTTCCCTCCCTCCTTCCTTCCTGCCTTCCTTTTCACCTTCCTTCCTTCTCTCTTTATTGTTTTAAAGTCTTTTCAAGTTAGGTTTTTCAGCTTGTCATTTCTATCCAAGTATCTGAGCTATGCTGGCAATGGAAGGTGGTGCAGATGGAACAGAAATGGTCATATTTCATCAAATTGAAAGCACAGCTAGAACGAAAAGGAACAAGCCTTTCATCAAGGGGTCCTGGGGGCACGTCTCTCCTTTTAATAAATGATCCTGGGTGATTTCCCTAGTGGTCCAGGGGTTAAGACTCTGCGCTTTCACTGCTGGTTGAGCTTGTTCGATTCCTGGTGGGGGAGCTAAGATCCTCCATGCTGTGCGGTGCATCCAAAAATTTAAAATAAATGAATAAATAATAAGAAGTACTGGGACAGTTGATTATCCAGACGGAAAAATTAGACCTTTACCTCAGTCCTTGGCAAAAATTAATTTCAGATGGATTAAATATGAGAAACAAGCTTTTTAAAATTGAAATTTAGAAGAACATATAAGAGAGTATTGGAAAAGGAAATGGCAACCTACTCCAGTATTCTTGCCTGGGAAATCCCACAACAGAGGAGCCTGGCGGGATACAGTCTATGCAGTCGTGAGAGTCAGACATGACTTAGTGACTAAACCACCTCCATCACAAGAGAGTATGTTCCCGAATGAAGCTTCCAGACACAAAGAAGTCTCTCAAAATGTAAATAAAAAGATGAATTACTTAGAGTAACTAATATTAAAAAATACAAAGAAGAATGAAAATATGAATCAGACTTAAGAGAGTCTTTGCAATCGATAGCTTACCAAGGACAGGTGTGCCTGCTATGTACTTATGCCCTTTAAGTCAGTGAGGAAAATATTAATACCAGCTATTCAACAGAAAAGTGAACAATGGCTAGATACCATCAATTCACAGCAAAGAAACCCCAAATGGTCAATATTCCTCATTCGAGATCAGGAAAATGCAAATTAAAACAACAACGAGTTATCTTTATATACGCAGCTTAAAATAGGTTTTGTTGTTAAGTCGCTCAGTTGTGTCTGACTCTTTGCGACCCCATGGACTGCAGCATGCCGGGCTTCCCTGTCTATCACCATCTCCCAGAATTTGCTCAAACTCTTGTTCATTGAGTCGGTGATGCCATCCAACCATCTCATCCTCTGTTGTCCCCTTCTCCTTCTGCCTTCAGTCTTTCCCAGCATCAGGGTCTTTTCCAATGAGTCAGTTCTTTGCATCAGGTGGCCAAAATATAGGATACCAGCTCACATATTTTAATCAACAAAATTTACAAATGTGTGTGTGTGTGTGTGTGTGTGTGTGTGTGTGTGTGTGTGTGAATTGGTAATGACTCAAGGAATTGGAAGCTTATATATCCTTGGTGGAAGAATAAATGGGGGAAACCACCTTAGTTATCAATTTGCCTTTTCCAGTGGGATGAAAGTTGTGGATGTCACAGAAGACAGATTTTACTCCTAAATATAAACCTCAAGAGATCACAAGAGATGTGAGCAAGAAGGCAGGTTCCAAAGATGTTTAACTGCAGCATTTTGCTGACAGCAAAGCAGGAAAAGAACCCAAATATCTAGCAGTTCAGGAAGGAACAAAGGGAAGCCATGGTTTGTGCATACAACCAAGTGCTTTTTAAAATTTTCTTTTATTGAGATGTAATCACATACCATAAAACCTGCGCTTCTAAGGTGTATAGTTCAGTGGTCTTTATTCACACGGCTGAACAACCATCACCACTGACTAATTCCACAACACTGTCATCAACCCAAGAAGATACCCGTACCTGTTTCTAGTCACTCCCCCTTTCTCCTTCTCTCCAATTAATGGCAACCATTAACTGCAGCCATTAATCCACTTTCTCTCTCTAAGGATCTGTCCATTCTGGATATTTCATATAAATAAAATGCCTATGATGCACAGCTTTCTGTGTCTTAGCATAATGTTTCCAAGTGTCATCCAGGTCATGGCATGTTCCAGTGGCTCATCCTTTTTTGGGGCTGAGTAATATTCCATGGTATGGTTAACAACTGAATTCTGTGCAGCAAACAAGGAAATAAGTCTTCAAAAATCACCTGGATGAGTTTCAAAAGCATAATGTTGATGGCAATAAAAAAATGGTGACAGAATTGTAATGATGACTCCCTATGTTTGTATAATATAATAACAATAAAATATAATGTATTGACTATTTATAGATGCTTGAGGGGTAAAAGTATGAAAAAATCCATCAGCATAATATATACTACTCTGAGTAATGTTGACCTCTTAGAAAAAGAGGGAGGGAAATAGACTGGGAGGGGTAGAATAAAAACACAGCAAAGTGTTCATGGTTTGAAAATAAGGTCAGTGTGCTTATTTCCACTTATATTTTGGGGTGTTTTTCTTTATGACAGAAGTATTTCATAGTTTAAAAACTTGAAAAAAAGTTATCTAGGGAATTCCCTGGCAGTCCAGTGGTTAGGACTCCAGGCTTTCCCTGCTGAGGGCCTGGGTTCAATCCCTGGTAGGGGGGGTAAGATCCCACAAGCTGCAGGCACGCCCGAAAAAAAGAAGGTTATCCAGTGTATGCTACTGGATAGAATATTCATATATACATTCCAAATATTTATACATTGATCCATTCATATATTTTAAAATGACTTTCAAACCTGATTGAGTGATGCAACTTTGGAAGCAAAGCTCATATACACGTGCTTATACAGAAGCAGTTATTCAGTACCACTGTCATCTACACAAAAAAGTCCACATTTAGAAAAAAATCCTTAAAATGCTGTATTCACATGAGTTAATTAAGTTATGGGTGCCAAGTGACAGAATCCACATAGATTCAGTAAGTCTAACTTTATTGTAGCCTTTGATTTTAATAAGAATAAAAACAGAAATGTGATGGCAGTAAGAAAACACTTTCATTCTTAGCAGAGAGGAAACTGGTCTTGAGACTAGAGGGCTTGAAAGAATCAGGAACCAAATACTTTCAGCCATTTTCCTAGGTGTGTGCTACTTTGGGATGCTTTTTGTTAATTCACAAGTATCTCCCTCCAGGGCCATTTTTTTCTGCTCCTTTTGTGAAATCCCTGTGTCTGTGGGGGCATGTAGTCTTCTCTGAGGAACATTTTCCATTTGCATGATGTCATCCTGAACTCCCTAAGTGAATATTCCCAGTCCCACCAGCCTGTAGATACATTACGTATTCTTAGCCTATGATTTCATTCAAACCCTCCCTGGTGGGTCAGAGGGTAAAGAATCTGCCTGCAATGCAGGAGACTGGGGTTCAATCCCCTGGGTCAGGAAGATCCGTTGGGGAAGGAAATGGCAACCTCCTCCAGTATTCGTGCCTGGGACACCCCATGGGCAGATGAGCCTGGTGGGCTACAGTCCATGAGGTCGCAAAGAGTCGGACACAACTGAGCGACTAACAATTTCATACTAAGGTTACACTCCAAGTCTCGTGAAAACTCACCCCATAATTTATGAGAGGAGGGGAAGCAAGAAGGGAAACATAATTCTATTATTATGAATAAAAGTGCCAAGGACAGAGTCACCTGAATTTTCCCAAGTCCGGTCATCCCAGCCATGTTAATCCATACTCTCCCTCCCAGAGAAAAGCTCTTCTCTCAGTCCTACACCTTCACCATTGTGTAGTCACAAGAACTTGGGGTCTCCTCGGCGGGGACGGAAGCTGCCCCGGACAGCACTGTGGTGTTTAGCTGGGCGTAGGTCACCCCATCGGGATCTTCAGGCTTTGGGGAGAAGAGAGACAGGCTTGTAGAGCTGAGCTTTGCAGTAGGGTAGCCAGGAGCCACACATGGCCATTCAACTGCAGACAAATGTCAGCTAAATTCAAGCTGAGGTCCTCAGTCTCACCAGTTGCATTTCAGATGCGGCGGGAGGCTGGGATATGTATGGGACAGCACAGCTGTAGACTGTTTCCCTCATCGCAGGAAGTTCTGCTGGACAACATGTTCTGGGACGGCCATGCTTTCAACTCCCATAACAGGATACCATCAGATCAGTGGTAACATGTGCTTATTAAAAATCAGTGCAAATGTACTGAGAATAAGAACTGTTTTGAGAATAAGAACTGCCCTCCTATATGCATACCTACTGATGACATAGTATTGTATTTTAAAAAATAATGTTGCTGAGATATAATGTATATAGCATAAAATGCCCCTGTGATAAGTGTAGAGTTCTATGACTTTCAGTGAATTTGTAGAACGATGCAACCATCACCACCATACAGCGGGAGAATATCCATCGCCCCACAAAAGTTCCCTGTGCTTGTTTGCAGTTAAGCCTTGCTCCCCCTGCCCTTCACCCCCACCCCAGCCATAAGCAATGACTAATTTGCCTTTCCTGGAAATTTTATGTAAATGGAACAATTTTATGTATAGTTTTTTGTATCCGAGTTTTTTCACCTAGCAAACTGTTTTTGAGGTGCAGTCACTTCTCATGTATATCTGTAATTCCTTCCTTCTACTGCTGAATAGTATTCTCTTGTATGGAGGGATCCCATCACAACATGACATTATCATAATATAATTATCAACAATGTGCTAATCAAGGTCATTAGGCCAACACTTAAAATAGTCCAGATTTAATCACTGACATTTACTTTGTGATAAATTATGCCTTTCCATTACTTAATATTTATATATATATATATCCAAATGAATGCAATGTACATAAATATTGCTTTAAACACAACAATGTTTAAATCTTTTACTAATTTTTTTTTTTTTGGGCCAGTAGCTTGCAGCATCTTAGTTGCTGACCAGGGATTGAACCTGGGCCCTCGACAGTGAAAGCACCGAGTCCTAACCACTGGATCACCAAGGAATTCCCTGCTAATGCTTTTATTTAATTTGCTTTGGCTTCAAGAATGAGCCAGTGAACCTCTGTGCCCTGTGGGAAAAGGTGTGAATTTTACTTGCTATCGCACTTAGATGTTACAATGCTGATTAATATTAAATCACAAATAAGCAGTATTTTAGGGGCCGGTGGCTCAGTGGTAAAGAATCCACCTGCAATGCAGGTGATGCAGGAGATGCCAGTTCAATCCCAGGGTTGGGAAGATTCCCTGGAGGAGGAAATGACAACCCACTCCAGTATTCTTTGCCTGGGAAAGCCCATATAGAGAGGAACCTGGGGGGTTACCATCCATGGGGTCACAAAGAGTTGGACATATCTGACTGACTGAGCACGCACCCAACAAGNGGAGGAGAAGGGGACGACAGAGGATAAATGGTTGGATGGCATCACCGACTCAATGGACATGAGTTTGGGTAAACTCCGGGAGTTGGTGATGGACAGGGAGGCCTGGCATGCCGAGGTTCATGGGGTTGCAAAGAGTCAGACACAACTGAGCGACTGAACTAAACTGAACAGAAATTGATTAATATTTGTTAAATGATGCTTTCATGCCATCCATTTGACACTTAAAATTTGTCAGAAATGCCAATAAACCCTTTACATTTATGACATCATTAGACTCTCACAGCCTTTTAACTGGGGATTTGGATTCCCCTTAGATACGGGAGGAAAGAAGTGAAGAAGTGTTAGTCGCTCAGTCATGTCCGACTCTCTGTGACCCCATGGGCAGTAGCCCACCAGGCTCCTCTGTCTGTGGAGAGGAATGGGTTGCCTTTCCTTTCTCCAGGGCATCTTCCTAACCCAGGGATTGAACCCAGGTCTCCTGCATTGCAGACAGATTCTTTACCGTCCGAGCCACCAGGAAAGGAAGGGTCCAAATCATGTGGGTTTGTGTCTTGTTTGTTTAATTTTTATTGGAGTACAGGTGACTTGCAATGTTGTGTTAGTTTCAGGGATACAGTAAAGTGCATCAGTTGTCCACATACATGTATCCCCTCTCATGGGGGTTTTGTGATTTGTCTCAGACCACACTGGTGATAAATAGCTATTGGGAGCTGGAATCCAGCTACTGTGAAATTCAAAGCACCTGTTTTTTTTTTTGTTTGTTTGTTTGAGATGTAACTGATATATAACCCTGTGCATCTTTAAGGTGTACTCATGTTGATGTGATACATTGATATAGTGTACCACCTTGCTAACACTTCCATCCTGTCACATAATTATCATTTCTTTTTCATGATGAGAACAATTATGATCTAGCCTCCTAGCATCTTTGATGTATACAATACAGTATTGCTGACTCTAATCCCCAAGCTGTGTGTTAGATTCCCAGGACTTACTCATCTACAAGTTGCAAGTTTGTTCCCTTAAATGACATCTTCCTAGGTCCCCTACCCGCCCGCTCCCCAGCCCCTGTTAACCTCCTATCTACTCTCTTTTTATGGGTTCCTCAGATTTTTTTCGACTCAATATTACATGGCCGCATGAATATAACCAGCGTTTGAGCTAAGCCAGGAGGCAGACAGACCAGCCTCTGGTGGTATGTGAGCTCTTGGGTTATTCCATAGGGGAGAACTCACCGATTCAGATATCCTTTCCATCATGGGTGCATCTGCATGTGAGTACAAGGAGACAAAATTCAGTTCTCAGATGGCAAGAGTCAGATCGTAGTTTCTCCATCCCAAGGTTCCTCCTGGTTTCGCCCCTGATGACTTACCTGCATCCCTCTGTGTGTGCACTTTGGAATGACGGGTTCTGAGAAAGAGAAATGTGTTCAAGTCTGGGATCTGGAGATCTGGGGGAGGGGCTAGGGCTGACAGAGGTGGGGCTGGGCATGAGAGTCACTGATGTGCAGACCGGGTCTCTGAAGAGTGGCGTGGGAGTTAAGGCAGGGCGTGAGGTCTGCCAAGTGTACCTACCTCTTGGTGGATTCTTCCTGTGATGAATCTATTTAAAAAAAAAAAAAAGGAAGAATGTATCTCCCTAGAGAATCCTTCTCTTTAGTCCCCTTCCTCGGAGTGCGAAACCCGCGCTGCTCTGAACTCACCTTGCTGAGTGCACCTGTAGATGAAGAAGATGGCGAGGAAGAGGAGAAAGAGGGAGAGGCAGCTGAAGGTGGCCACGAAGACGACCCTGGTATCTGGCGGGAGAACAACGGGGCCAAGGTCAGGCTGGCTCCGGGAACGCAGAGCAGCTTTGCAGAAGAGTCACAAGGAGCCAGACAGCCTGGCTTCAAGACTGCCACTCCCCAGCTGGAGCGCCCAGTCGCTTGAGAGAATTTGCATCATCATTTGTTTTCCCGACCAAAGCGAGGATAGCAATTGTGGCTGCTTTACTGGTTGGTAGAGAGATGGAGTGGGTCAGTGGCTACAGAGAGGGCTAGCACAGTGCCCGGCAGATAGCAATCACCCAGTAAACGTTTCACCCCCAGGAATAATACTTATTAACTGTGAGCCATTAGCACTCATAAGTGTTTTCTCATTTAAAAAATTTTTTTGTATTAATTTTTTTCTTTTTTTTTTGCCATGAAGCTTGCAGGATATTGGTTTCCCAACTAGGGATTGAACCCAGGCCTTTAGCATGAAGGCCTGGAGTCCTAACACTGAACCACCAGAGAATTCCCTATTCTTTCTCATCTTAGCAATAAGTACACAAGGTAAGTTTGCCATCCCCATTTCATTCATACATAAATCAAGTACCTGGAATTAAACTGAGTTCCCCAGACTCACATGGCCAGGATGGGCTTTGGACGCTGCTGTGTCTAACCTTTCTGGCCAGTCTGCCCCAAGGTTGGGGTAGCTCTGTGCTGACCCCTCGGTGTGGACATTCAAGAGAAGTGACATTCTGAACCTTTTCCAGGTAAGTCATGATTTGGTGAGAAACACATTTACCCAGACTAACTGTGATGCTACAGAAGTGAAGACAAGTCCAGCAACAGATGGATCAAAGTCCAAGAATCATTTTCTCAAGGTAAGGAAGCAACCTCAGTGTCCATCGATAGATGAACAGATAAAGAAGATATGGTATATATGCACATACACTCCCGATGCTGGGGGTCTGAGTTCAATCCCTGGTCCGGGAACCAGATCCCACAAGCTGCAATTAAGATCTGGTGCAGCCAAATAAATAAATATTTTAAAAAACAAAAATAAACTCATAAAAACAGAGAGTAAAACAGTGATTGCTAGAGGCTGGGGAGTGGCGTATTTGGGGAGAAGTTGGTCGAAGAGCACAAACAAATTTCAGATGACTGAGGTCTGAGGATCTAATGGACCGCGTGAACCATAGTTGATGGCACTGTAGCGTATCATGAAACTTACTAGGAGTGTTCTTAAGTGTTCTCACCAAAAAACAAAAAAAGCAAATACATGACATGAGGTGAAAATTTCACATTTAGTGCAAGTCGCTCAGTTCTGTGTGACTCTTTGTGACCCCATGGACTATATAGTCCATGGAATTCTCCAGGCCAGAATACTGAGTGGGTAGCCTTTCCCTTCTCCAGGGGATCTTCCCAACCCAGGGATCGAGCCCAGATTTCCCACACTGCAGGCAGATTCTTTACCAGCTGAGCCACAAGGGAAACCCCTGACATGACTTGAGTTGAGTGATATGCAATTAACTCTATGGGGAGACTCCTTCTACAATGTATTGTTGTTGTTTAGTTGCTAAGTCATGCCCAACTTTGCAATACCTTGGGCTGTAGCCCGCCAGGGTCCTCTGTCCACGGGATTTCCCAGGCAGGAGTACTGGAGTGGGTCATCGTTTCCTTCTCCAGAGGCTCTTCCCCACCCAGGGATCAAACCCGAGTCTTCTGCGTCTCCTGCATTGCAGGCAGATTCTTTACCACTGAGCTACCAGGGAAGCCCCTATCCTGTATCAAATCATCACATTGTACAGTTTAAATATCTTACCACTTTATTTGTCAATGATACCTCCATGAAACTGGGGCGGCGGGGGGCGGTGAGGGGAAGGAGGTGTAGGAAAGGGAGGTAAGGAGAGCTCCCTTGAAGAGAGCCGTGATGATGAAAAACCCTGACTCGGAAGCGCTCAGCGGAGCATCTGATTCACGGTGTGGGATAAGGAGGTTGCAGTGATCAGGATCATTCTCTCACACGGCATCCCACCCACACCCACCTCCCTCTGTAACAGATGCTGTCAGCGCGCCTCCGCCCATGGTCCCCCAGATTCCTTTGCCGTTCTTAGGCATGCTCGATCGTGGTTTCTCCCCCTTCCCAACATAAGCACTTTGGTGTCTGTTGGCGGTAGTGGTGGTGGGGTACTGCCCAGAAAACGCCTTGGGAACCTAGGTGGCCCAGGGACACCCCTTTGCCAAAAGTAGACATCTGTGGGAGCCACGCAGCCCCGTGGATGGAAAAGTGGGGCAGAAACACCCGTTCCTGGATGGTGGCGAAGGAACATCAGCCTTGCCTTATGCTCTCTGCCCTCCCCTTGGTGACCCTACAGTTTATCTCACGGTGCAGTTCGCTAGAAATGGGAAGTGAATGATTGCAAGGCTGTCCACAGCCCACTGAACTGGGTTTGCCCTGAGATGGCCACATATCCTGGCCAAATTTCACATCAACTATTGACACATTGCCAAAATTAACTTGCAGAAGGTCTGTGACACTGATCTGAGGCATCTGACCAAGCAGTGGGATACAGCTTGACACAGGGCATGAAATCCCAGAAAGGAAGCCTGGCCTTGTGGCAACGTTAGGGGATGAACTTCATCGTCATCTCTGCCCAGAATTAGAGCAGCGGGTTCCTTTCTAGTAGCCTGGAGGCGCACGTATGTAGGCTGGAGACAGCCTCTTGTTGTCGTTTAGTCACTCAGTCATGTCTGACTCTTTTGTGACCCCATGGACTGTAACCCACCAGGCGTCTCTGTCCAAGGGATTTCCCAGGCAAGAATACTGGAGTGGGTTGCCATTTCCTTCTCTGGAGATGGCGTATCTGTTGCTCAAAAAGTTAAACACAAAGTTACCATGTGTCCCAGCAGTTTTACTCCTAGGTAGTAGATACCCAATTAGGGGCTTCCTTGGTGCCTCAGACGGTAGAGAATCTGCCTGCAATGCAGGAGACCCAGGGTCAACTCCTGGGTCGAGAAGATCCCCTGGAGTAGGAAATGGCAACCCACTCCAGAATTCTTGCCTGGGGAATCCCATGGACAGAGGAGCCTGGTGGACTGTAGTCCACAAGGTCATAAAGAGTCAGACACAACTAAGTAACTTATACTTTCTCCTTTCTTCTTTCAGATACCTGATGGAAAGCAGGGGCTCAGGTACCCATACACCTATATCCATGGCAGCATTATTCACAATAGCCAAAAGGTACAAACCACCCAAATGTCCATCAACTGATGAATGGATAAACAAAATGTGGTCTGTCCATATGATCGAATATTATTCAGCCATGAAAAGGATGGAAGTACTGATACATGTTACCACATAGGTGAACCTTGAAGACATTGTAGGAAGTGAAAGAAGCCGGTCTCCAGACCTCAGACTGTGGGACTGCGTTTTATATGAAATGTCCACAATAGGCAAAGCCATAGAGTCAGAGAACAGATTGGCAGGGCGTGTTGGGCATGCAGGGAGCGAAGACCAACTGCTGGATGGAACTTTATTTCGGGAATTAGAGTGGTGGTGTAGAGCCCTGTGAATGTGCCAAATGCCTCTGCCTTGTACACTTTAGAAGGGTGAATCTATGGGATGTGAATAATATACCAACTAAAAAAGAAAAGCAATGACAGAAGAGCTAAAAACACGAACCCTTCAACTCTCCATCTCCCATTTCTGATATTTCCAAGCTCTCCGACTCTGTTAGATTTCAGATCTCTCCAAGAAACTGTGGAACGCATTGTGGTCACAGAGCCAGAGTAGCAGTCATTAGCCTGCTAATACTGAATAAAAATGTTTTCAAAGGCAAATACATATTTTGGAAAGACAGGATGCAGGAAATCTTTTTTTTTTTTGGCCACGCCACATGGGATGGAACCTGTGCCCCCTGTGATGGAAGTGTGGGGTCCCAATCACCGGGCCACCAGAGAATTTCCAAGGATGGCTTTTTTTTTTTTTTTGCCAACTACCTAACACTCCAAGGATGTCTTTCTAAAAATTATTTCTGTTATACTTGCATAGACTCTAATGACAACCTTGAACAATTTTGACCCTGTGGAGCAGATTGCAGGAAGGTTATGCGTTGCTGAAAGAAAAACGATCAAGCCTCTAGGTAAATTCCCCGTTTGTCCTGTGGTTAGGACTTCCAGCTTCCACGGCCCGGGGCCTGGGTTCGCTCCCTGGTTGGGGAATTGCGTGTATATGCTCAGTCACCAAGTCATGTCCGATTCTTTATGACCCCATGACTGTAGCCCACCAGGCTCCTCTGTCTGTGGGATTTTCCAGGCAAGAATACTGGAGTGGGTTGCCATTTCCTCCTCCAGGGGGTCTTCCCAACCAGAGACTGAATCTGAGTCTCCTACACTGGCAGGCGCATTCTCTACCACTGAGCCACCTGGGAAGCCCAGGTCAGGGAATTAAGATCCCCCAAGATGCATGGCACAGCAAAAACGAATCCATGATGGATAAGCCTGTTTCAGTCTAAGCCTCCAGAAAGCCTTAGTTTTTATGAGAATTTCTCCTAAAGGAAATCAGTCCTGACTATTCATTGGAAGGACTAATGCTGAAACTAAAACTCCAATACTTTGGCCACCTGATGCGAAGAGCTGACTCACTTGAAAAGACCCTGATGCTGGGAAAGATTGAAGGCGGGAGAAGGGGACGACAGAGGATGTGGTGGTTGGATGGCATCACCGACTCAGTGGACATGAGTAGTTGGTGATGGACAGGGAGGCCTGGCGTGCTGCAGTCCATGGAACCACAGAGAGTTGGACACGACTGAGCAACTGAACTGAACTGGACTGAGGGTAGAATCTTAGTCAATTATTCGTGGAAAACCAGTATCAGAAAAAAAGAAAACTAACATTCACTGTTTTTTGAGAACTTGAAAGTTTCAGCAAGTGTTTGATCAAACATCATCCCAAAGTATAGGCTCCGCAGGTCCTGGTTCCATTCCCCAAACCAGTCATTCCCACTCACCCCCTTTCTTCCCGAAACTCCACCAGAGCTTTTCACCACGAAAAACAGCAGACGATGTACCTTGTGCTGTTTTATTCACCAGCGTTTTCAGAGGGGGATATAACTGGGGGAAACAAGTCCCTTTTAATTATGTTACCTATCTGTGAGGAGGCAGGTTTGCTTTCCTCTTGGTTCCCTAGAAAAGAGGAAAGGAGAAAAGGAATCACAATGTTTATATGGGAACCTTGGGGACATAAACCCTCGTGTTCTATTTACAGACATCATGCCCTCTTTGGGATGCAGAGAGGAGAATGTTCTTTTCATTCCCCAGGTGCTCACTGGGCCCCCAAATCCGGCCCAGAGCACTAGGTTAGTCTTCATGGAGCTTGGTATTATTTTAATAACAAAAATATTTATGAATGACCCTACTAATCCCCCACCTTCCAATCCTATCCCAGGAAAGAGCACCAGCATTTTACAAGTATTCTCTCCCATTTGGTAGGTTGCCGTTTCATATTGATGATTGTTTATTTTGCTGTGCAAGAAGATTTTTTGGTTGATATACTGTTGTTGTTCAGTTGCTAAGTCATGTCCGACTCTTGGTGACCCCATGGACTGCAGCACGCCAGGCTCCCCTATCTCAGTTTGGTCCAATTCATGCCCATTGAGTCGGTGATGCTATCTAACCATCTCATCCTCTGTTGTCCCCTTCTCTTTTTGCCTTCAATCTGTCCCAGCATCAGGGTCTTTTATAATGAATTGGCTCTTCGCATCAGGTAGCTAAAGTATTTATTTTTGCTAATTTTCTGTAGATAAGATCACATCTGCAGATGAAGGCACTTTTACTTCTTCCTTTCCAATTTGAATGCCTTTCTTCCCCCTGTCTTGCCCAATTGTTCCAGAGAGGACTTCCAGTATTACATTGAATTGAAGCGGTGGGCATCTTTTCCTTATTCCTGATATCAGAGGAAAAGCTTTCAACTTTTCACCATTAAGTATGACCTTAGCTGTGGGCTTGTTATATTGGCCTTTATTGTGTTGAAGTATGTTCTTGCTACACAAAATTTATTGAGAGTTTTTATATTGAAATGATTTGTTTTATCAAAAATTTTTACGTATGTTAAGATGAACATATGATTTTTATCCTTCATTCTACTAATGTGTGTATCACACTTACCGACTTGTATATTGAACCATCCTTGTGTACAAAGGAGAAATCTCACTTGATTATGGTGTGTGAGTCTTTTAATGTAGTGTTAAAATTGATTTCCAAGATTTTGTTGAGAACTTTCTCATCTGTACTCATCAGGGATATCGGTCTATAGTTTTCTTTCAGTGTCCTTGTCTGATATTTATTTTTGCTAATTTTCTGTAGATAAGATCACATCTGCAGATGAAGGCACTTTTACTTCTTCCTTTCCAATTTGAATGCCTTTCTTCCCCCTGTCTTGCCCAATTGTTCCAGAGAGGACTTCCAGTATTACATTGAATTGAAGCGGTGGGCATCTTTTCCTTATTCCTGATATCAGAGGAAAAGCTTTCAACTTTTCACCATTAAGTATGACCTTAGCTGTGGGCTTGTTATATTGGCCTTTATTGTGTTGAAGTATGTTCCTGCTACACAAAATTTATTGAGAGTTTTTATATTGAAATGATCTATTTTATCAAAAACTTTTACATATGTTAAGATGAACATATGATTTTTATCCTTCATTCTACTAATGTGTATATCACACTTACCGACTTGTATATTGAACCATCCTTGGGTACAAAGGAGAAATCTCACTTGATCATGGTGTGTGAGTCTTTTAATGTAGTGTTAAAATTGATTTCCAAGATTTTGTTGAGAACTTTCTCATCTGTACTCATCAGGGATATCGGTCTATAGTTTTCTTTCAGTGTCCTTGTCTGATTCTGACATCAAGGTGATGCTGGCCTTGTAAAAGGAACACAGGAGTGTTCCTTCCACTGTAGTTTTTGGGAAGAGTCTGAGAATGACTGGTGTTATTTCTTCCTTAAATGTTTGGTGGAATTCACCAGTGAAACCATCTGGTCCCGCGCTTTTCTTTGTCAGGAGTTTTGATTGCTGATTCAATCTCTTTATCTGTTATTGATATGTTCCAGTTTTCCATTTCTCCATACTTCAGTCTTGGTTTGTAAACGTCCGCAAACGTTCTCCTGTCTGTAGGTACTACCCACGTCCGTGTTCTCCAAGACGATGGCCAAGAGGGGCTGGAATCAGGTTGCTGGTTCCACAACTGGTACTGAGGTCTGTCTGCCTGTTATCCAACGCCCAGGCAGGTGAGGCCCCTCCTGGGGCCTTTGGTGTCTGGTGGCGGATCCCACAGCTCCCATGAGGCACTTTTGCTCATGAATGAGTGCCAAATTTTAGTTGTTGGAGTGAGGGTACAAAAATAAGGAATGGCAGAGCTCCCTGGTGGTGCAGTGGGTAAGAATCCGCCTGCCAATGCAGGGGACACAGCTTCGATCCCCGATCCAGGAAGATTCCACATGCCGTGGAGCAGCTAACCCCGAGAGTCACACCTGCTGAGCCCACGAGCTGCAACCACTGAGGCCCTTGAACCTAGAGCCCATGCTCTGCAACAAGAGAATCCCCCACAATGAGAAGCCCGTGCACCACAGCAAAGGGTAGCCCCCATTCACCCCAACTAGAGAAAGCCCGTGTGCAGCAGCAAAGACCCAGCACAGCCACGAATTAATTGATTGATTATGTTTTTAAAAGAAAAAGAAAAAAAATCACAGGCTCAAGATGGAATCATTTGTGTAGACCGTGCTAGGGCTCAATACCTAATCTAATTGAAGCTTTGAAGCCCATGCCCAGAAATGTTGTCTTAAATAGTCAGTCGTGAATTTTTAGGTCAGCACCAGTGAGGTCATCTGTCACAGGGACCCCTCCTTCCCCCAGAGGATCATCGGTTAATCTGCCACGCAGACCCCTTTCTCTACTCCATAGGTGGTGATGGCGTTCAGTCACTATGTGCTAAGTCACTTTAGTCGTGTCAGGCTCTTTGCAACCCTGTGGTCTGTAGCCTGCCAGGCTCCTCTGTGGGATTTTCCAGGCAAGAATACTGGAGTGGGTTGTCATGCCCTTCTCCAGGGGATCTTCCTGACCCAGATATCAAACCCGCATCTTCTGCATTGGCAGGCGGATTCTTTATCATCTGANGGCAGGCAGATTCTTTATCATCTGAGCCACCAGGGAAGCCCAGGCTCCAGGTGAGTGAGGAGGAATTCAGCCGCCTTCCTGTTGAGTTCTGCCCTTTATTGTACCCAGAGTCCTGTGACTTCCCCAGCATGAATGTCGCATTCCGGACATCAGACTGGCACGTGAGGGTCATGTTGCTGCTGCGTCCAACCTCTGAGTTGGGCAAGGCATGGAGGAGGGGTTGGGAAGTTTCTCTGGAAAGAATTTGGAGTTTGACTCTTCATCTTGGTGACCACCAAAACCCTCCTAGAATTCAGAGGATGAAAGGGGAAAGGCCGTGAAACTTGGGGTGCGGGAACAGAGTCTAGGTTGGGAGATGACTTACCATTCTTTTCCTCATCTTCATTGCCCAGACAAAGCCCTGGAAGAGAAACACTCATGAGAGAGGAAGTATATGTTTGTCTTTTTTTTTTTTAATTGAAGTATAGTTGATTTGTTGGGTTAGTTTTCGGTGTACAGCAAAGTGATCCAGTTGTATATCTAGATCTGCAGATATACATCTAGACAGAGAGTGACTCGGGAGATCCAGCCCTTGTTTCCACTCAAGTGTGGACTCAAAACACGAGCCCCCAAGCTTCAGGAGGAAGCAGGGACGTGGGAGCCGGCAGTGGATGGAGCCCGAGTTAGCTCTGGCTACAGTGGCTGCACTTATAGGCAGGAAATTGGTTTCCAGGTGGTCAGGGGGGTAGGGGGTATCCCCAGGTCTTGTGGTCTCTTTTAGTCCCTCTCTCCTCTGCTTTTAGTCTAAAGTCAACTCAGCTCTGTTATCAGGCAATCTTCTGCTCCAGTGGTGATTCCCATTCTTCCTTTCTTTTTTTTTTTTTAAATAAGCACATGATTGCCTTAGACTCACTTTTCATCATGAAACCTTACTGAGGACTAGGTGAAAATTGAGAGAGGAGTTCTCTGTTTTTGACAAATAAGATTGTATTAATGTGTACATGTGATGACTGGATGCACATATGTATTGTGCAATGACCACCACCATGAAGCTAGTTAACAAATAAGTCAGCTCACATAGTTACCTTGTATGTGTGTGTGGGGGGGTGGGGGGGAATGTTTAAGATCCATTCTCTGAGCCGATTTCAGTTATTATTAACTATGGTCACCAAGCTGGTCATTAGATCCTCAGAACTTATCTTTCTTTTTAAAAAATATCTCTTTTATTTTGTAATTGCTTATTTGGCTGTGCTAGGTCTTAGTTGCAGCATATGGGATCTAATTCCCCGACCAGGGATCAAACCCGGGCCACCTGGACTGCGACCATGGAGGCCTAGCCACTGGGCCACCAAGGAAGTCCTGTCTTTCTTAATAAAGGGCCACAGTGGGCATAGGCAGAGAACTGGCTGCAATGGACATGCTTGCCACTAAGAAGAGACATACTGGCATGTAGGGTAGCTTGAAAAAGCAAAGGATAAAAGAATCACTCTTTGAAGTCTTCGTAGAATTCCGACGTAGGGAGCTGTAGGCAACACAAGTAAGCATATTTATCTGGAAGTAATTGCAGTAAATAACTACCAGTCAGTGAGAATCTATCACTTGACAGACTCTTCACATACGTCAGCCATGTGCCCACTTGTATTATCTAGTGGGTCCTCTATGGCAACTGACATTTACCATACAGCTACCCTCTCTGCCTGACTCAGCCAGGCATCATCCATTTAACATTTAGTATGGGCTCTGGAGGATGAAATGGCAACCCACTCCTGTATCCTTGCTGGAGAATCTCATGGACAGAGGAACCTGGCGGGCTACAGGCCACGGGGTCGCAAAGAGTCAGACACGACTGAGGCACTGAGCAGCAACAATGGTCTTTAAATACGCCGCGTGGAGAGCTGCTCGATTTCCAAGCTAGGAAGGGAGGAGGAGAGTGACACTAGAATCTATAGTTCCCCAGAGAAGAGGAAAAATTACTTTGATGTTGTGACATAATAAGAAACACATTGGGTCTTTGTCCCTGGTTCCGGTACAGAGCTCCTCAAACTCTTAAAATTCCCTGAGTGTTGTGAGAGGGAAAGCTGTCTTTTGTTATGTTAATATAACTTTTGGAAAAGTCTCTAGGTAACCTAAGGATGGTGGCCGGTTGCCAGGGAAACAACGAAGTGATTAAAGGGTTGGAACTGTCAGTCTTACCCACCCCCCACCCCCAACCCNAAGAGAGCTTCCGTGTTGGACACATGGAGATTTTTCGAGTGTGATGTGCTCAGAAGCCCTTTTCCTCATACTTGGCTCTGTGCACCTCTTCCATTTGGCTGTTCCTGAGTTAAATCCTTCTATGTACTGTGCTTAGTCACTCAGTTGTGTCCAGCTCTTTGTGACTCCATGGACTGTAACCCACCAGGCTCCTCTGGCCTTGAGATTCTCCAGGCAAGAATACTGGAGTGGGTTGCCATGCACTCCTCCAGGGCATCTTCCCAACCCAGGGATCAAACCCAGGTCTCCCACATTGCAGGTGGATTCTTGACCATCTGAGCCACCCGGAAGCCCAAGAACACTGGCGTGAGTAGCCTAACCCTTCTCCAGGGGAACTTCCTGACTCAGGAATCAAACCAGGGTCTCCTGCATTGCAGGCAGATTCTTTACCTGCTGAGCTACCTGGGAAGCCCAGATTCTTCTATAATAAATTGGTAATCTGGTAAGTAAAATGCTTCTCTGTGTTCCATGTTCTCACAAATTTGAGTTTTAGCAAATTGATGGGCCCAAGGAGGGGTTCATTAGAACCTTCAATCTGTAGCCAGTTGGACAGAAACACAGGTGGCCACCAGGGCTCATGATTGGCACTTGGAGTGGGAGGGAGGTCATCTTCTAGGACGGAGCCCTTAATCTGTGGGATCTGACGGTATCGCCAGGTAGTTCGTGTCAGAATGGAGTTGAATTGCAGGACGACCAGCTGAGTCAGCTGCTTGGTGGTGTGAAAAACCACCCCCTCCATATTCACACACATCGGAACTGGGTGCAGAGTCCTCACTGACATCTGAGAAGTAAAACACTGCCTGCCACATCAGTAAACAAATGGTGTCACCGTCATCAGTGATTGCACACACCTCTGACAGTGAGCTGGTGAGCTCTGAGGCAATGCAGGAAGCAAAGAACGCCTGTCATCCCACAGCCATCAGACTGCAGCCACTGCCCACGGCAAGCTCCGAGGGAGCTCAGGATGTGAAAACACAAGATGCTGGCCCCGGACAGCTGAGGTGTACATCCAAGGAATGACTTCAGTCAGCCCAGACTCTTGCGTCTTCTCATACATAGAAAAGCGCTAAATTCCTTAGTTTGAGATATCTGGTTTTCTTTTATTAGCAGTAGTGTTTTGATGTTCAGACCACCTGCCCTTAGTTACAAAACTCCTATCCATCCTGGCTCCCCCCTTCACCTCCTTGAAGCAGTTTTTTCAGAACTACTTGTGATGCTGTCTCTGGGGCTGGAATTCCTAAGAATATCCACTGAATAAAACATAACTCTCAACTTTTATGTTGTGCAATTTTTTTCAGCTGACAGTTTACACAAGGTCCTACTGGAGTTGGCTGGAACCCTAACCCAATATGACCGATGTCCTCATAGGAAGTTGGAAGGGCAGGCACCGTTGTGCACCGGGTTGCCAAGATACTGCTCCCAAAGTACAAGCCGTGAGCCTGGCTGCCCTACCTACTACCCTTGACCCAGCTGAATAGGATATATCTCTGGAAACCCAGAAGTCACAAGCCAACCTGTTGGCCATAAGATCCCCATTTAAATGGGAGTACCAGCTTCAATGCAATGACCCTCACCGCTGAGGGCTTATTGAAGATCCTGCCTTAGTTCGTTAGACCTAAGCAAGGTCAGCAAATATCTATCCCAGTTTCGGACCCACCCCCAAGAGCTTGGTCTTAGGAGCTCTGTTTGGGATTCGGCCCCTCCTCTTCTAGTTTTATCTTTTCAAAACTGACAGAGATGGGAAAGAAAAACTGATCTAGGAAGGAAAATTGGATTGAACATTTAACATCTCATATTAATTCTGGCATTGATGACTATATGTACTGTTGTTTAACTGATCCTATTGATCATTAAAAAAAGATAAGAGGTTGAGAAGAGACCTGGAGACAGAACATGCCGAGGGAAGACAGCCATGTGACTATGTGAGGCTCCACAAGCCGAGGGGTGCTAAGGATTCCGAGTCATCTCCCAGCCAGAGTCGAGGAGGGAGGCGTGGAACAGACCCTCCCTCGGAGCCCCGAGGAGGAATCAGCCCTGCTGACACCCTGGTTCTGGACTTCTGGCCTCCAGAATGGTGGGCGAATAGATGTCTGTTGTTTTAAGCCACCCAATTTGCAGTCGTCTGTTACAGCAGCCCAAGGAAATAAGCGTGGGGAGAATAAGGTCTGTCTCTTGACTGCCCCATTTATTCTGTCCTGAGACTGGAGGTTTGGGGTATGGTGACCGACAGCCGCCTCTCACGCTCACATGTGTGTGTGGGATGGGCGTGACCTCAAAGGGAAGGGCTTAGTCCAGAAGAAGGAGGAAGGAACCCGCGGGTAGGAGGGGGGCAGATGGTGAGTCCTGGTGTCCTCCCTGCCGCCCCCCTCCTGAAGCCAGCCCCACTCACAGAGGAGGAACTGTGCACTCAGTCGGGTGGGGCTGCCTTTCCAAAGTCTGGAGAGACCAGGCCAAGATCATAGTCTAGGGCTTCCTTCCTACAGGCTGAGGTCTGTTTGATCACCTTATGTTCAAGTTGAACATCAGCTTAAAATCAAGCTCAGGATATGGCTGGTCAGAAAATGTTCTTATCCACCACTCCCCACCTTTGTATCAAGAAGTGAAGTGTAATTTGATCAGTCATGTCCGACTCTTTGTGACCCCATGGACTGTAGCCCACCAGGCTCCTCTGTCCATGGGATTCTCCAGGCAAGGATACTAGAGAGGGTGGCCATTCCCTTCCCCAGGGGATCTTCCTAACCCAGGATTGAATCCGAGTCTCTGCACCACAGGCGGATTCTTTACCATCTGAGCCCTCAGGGAAGCCCCACCTTGGTGTCATAGGGAAAAACAAATCTGACTCCATATTGGGTCTGTTTCTTTTACTTTAACAATTGTATTCTGTTGTTTTTGCTACAAGTTAATCACTACGGGGATGTTGTCTGCAAGCTTAAGGTGTATTTAGTGCTCTGCTCCATGAACCCCGCTTCTCATGCCTAAGTCTTGAGCTAGAGTACCTTTGCTTAAGCTCACAGGAAATATCCTGACCAGGCCCACCTGTGAATGACTGCAGGAAAGAAGAAATTAACACATCCCTCCTGGATTCTGGCCAGAAGTATGAAATATTTGCAATAATTTATTGCCTTTTTTAATTTCATCTCCTCACTTCCCCCTCTTTGTTCTATAAAAGTAACTAGCATCCAGACCCCCAGCCAGATGGTTCTTTGGGACATTTGTCCACCATCTTCTTGGTCAACTGGTGCTATATTTTTGCCCCAAGAACTCATCTCTCAAGCTATTGGCCCATCATGCCGTGAGCATTACAAGCTTGGACTCAGTAATAACATGTCTGTTCTATATTCCTTGTTCATAACCAAACTCACAGACCTTCACACCCTGTAGACCCTGCATCCCATATGCCAATGGGACATTCAAGGCAAGATGGTGGTACGTAGACGATACAGACTTGGAGGTCCCATCTGAGCTGTGCATTATTGAGCCGAGTGCCCTGAGGGTGTTACCATATGTCTCTGCTTCTTATCCCTTATCTGCAGGCACCAAAACCAGGGCATGCAGACACCAAAGCCCGCAAAACTGTGAGAGGTCGCTTGTACCTAGTACACAGAGGCCACCATTTCTGTACTTGCCACATCCCCCGTGGTAACCTCCACTACGCAGTGAATATTCTCACCCTCAAACCCATCTGTCCCAGCCCTGGAGACTCACCAAGGCAAAGCAGGGACAGGAATTTTGTGATCATGGTGTCCCTTCTGTCCGGACCAAGATCCCGCCTTCAGTTCTGCAGTTCAGAGGAAGACATGGGCCTGGGCAACCACAGCCTCCTCCTGCCCTCTCGGTCCCGGGGATGTGTGGGAGAGGTTTCGCCCTGACCCTTGGCTCCTCCACCATCTGGTGTACAGTTTCCTTCTCACAACTGACTCAGGAAGCCAGAAGCCACCAACGACAGCATCTTCCTCGTAAATCTAGTGTATGTGGCTCCACCCACCCTGAGACCTCTCCGATGTCGTCTGAAGTCTGGCCCAAGACGTTTTCTTTTAAAATAGTTCGTCTTTTCAGAGAAGGAGGAGTACCCTGTGAGATCCTATGTGGACTCTAAAAAGAAATGATGCACATGAACTTACAACACAGAGACTCACAGACTTAGAGAGAATGAACTTATGTGATGGGAGGCTGGGGGAGGGATGAGGGGAAGGGATGGTTAGGGAGTTGGGGACAGACATGTACACACAGCTATATTTCAAATGGATAACCAACGAGGTCCTACTGTGGAGCACCGGGAACTCTGCTCGGCGTTACATGGGAACTTGGGAGAGAATGGATACATGTGTATGTTCAGCTGAGTCCCCTCACTGTTCGCCTGAACCTTTCACAACATTGTTAATCGGCTAGACCCCAAAACTGAAGAGTTTAAAAACATAACTTGTCTTTTAAGTAGCTTTACTTTAACTTTTTAACTGAAGAATAAATAGCTTATATTAGTTTCAGGTGTACCACCTAGTGATTCAGGATTCTTATGAATTATACTCCGTTAAAACTTACTACTGGGACTTCCAGTGGTAAAGAATCTGCCTTCCAAAGCAGCGTACATATGTCCCATCCCTGGTAAGGGAACTAAGATTCCCATATGGGGCAACTAAGCCTGTTTGCCTCAACTGGAGAATCCGTGTGCCACAATGAGAGCTGCCCACATGCCGCAATAAAGACCCAGCAGTCTAAATTAATAGATTTTCTTAAAGTTATTACAAGATAGGGCTTCCTTGGTGGCTTAGTGGTAAAGAATCCGCCTGCCAATGCAAGGACATGGGTTCAAACCCTGGTCCGGGAAGATCCCACATGCCGTGGGACAACTAAGCCCGTGTGCCACAACTACTGAAGCCCGTGCGCCCTAGAGCCTGTGGTCCCCGGCGAGACAAGCCACTGCACATCGCCAGAGAGGAGCCCCCGCTCTCCGCAGCCAGAGGAACCCCGGGCAGCAATGGAGACCCCGCACAGCTGAAACAAACACACAAGTCTAAAAAGTGTTATTACAAGATAGTGGCTATATCTCCTATGCTCCACAGCATATCCAATTGCTTATCTATTATAGTTGTGTCCAACTCTTTGCAACCCCACAAACTGTAGCCCATAAACTACTGGGGATATAAATTCTCAGGCTGAAGGCTGTAAATGTTGGAGGGGGAGATGAGCTTCATAGCCCAGTTGCCCTTAGTAACTAGTATTGATTCATCATTCTAAAACCTGACCATGTGTCTTTTTCCAAATTCTGTTTAGCATTAGATTTTAGCATGAAAAAATTGTAAAATCAATAATGCAAGATGACATTTTATTTACTTTTCCTGCATTGGGGGGTTTCTTGGAATAGCAAATGTCTTTCTTTTTCTTTTCTGAACTTTTCACGTGGAATGCCGTTGGTGAGAGAGGCATGTCAAAATAAAAAATACAGTTATAGGTTTAGCTCCTTTAAAACTATCAAGAATTCTTTTATAGATTTTGTATCTATATTATTGGGCTTCCCTGTTGGCTCAGCTGGTAAAGAATCTAGTTGCAATGTGGAAGACCTGTGTTCGATCCCTGGGTTGGAAAGATCCCCTGGAAAAGGGAAAGGCTACCCACTCCAGTGTTCTGGCCTGGAGAATTCCAGGGACTGTATCGTCCATGGGGTTGCAAAGAGTCGGATACGACTGAGCAACTTTCACTTTCATCTATATTCTTGGATTTTGGATTCTATATGATTGGATTCTATATTATTAGCTGCTTACAGAGTTGTGGTTATTATATATTTCTCTTGAACTATTTTATCATTAGGGAATATGCATCTTCATATCTGAATACTATTTCTTGCTTTAAAATCTACTTTATATGATGTTAATATAGACATACCACCTTTGTTTTGCTGCTGTTTGCATGGTATATCTTTCTGTATCTTTTTGCTTTCAACACATCTGTGCATATACTTAAAGTGTTTCTCTTGAAAAAAAAACAACATTTATTTAGGTCTTTTTAAAACATCAATTAGATCTTTTCACTGAATTTCAGGGTCCATTGATGTTCTATGTAATTACTTATTTCTATAAATTACTTATTTATAATTACATCTTATAATTAGGATGTATATATATATCCTAATTTATAATTAGGATGTAAGTTTATAATCTTGCTAATCTTTCTATTTGCTCATCTCTCTTCTATCTCCTTATTTCCAACTTCTTAGTTTTAAAAAAATATTTTTACTGTGTCATTTTAGCTTTTTTCTGCTAACCAACTCTTTTTCAGCTTCACCAATAATGTGCCATTTTAACTACTCAATTTTCTTTACTTCTACATTATTTTTTGTACTATTCTTTTTGAGATGACTCTATTGATAATTTATACTTGACTTAATAACGGCTATGTCATATTTTCCGATGTAAAACGAGAGTTTTAAACAACCTAAGAGAAACACCTCACATCACAGTCTTTCAACAATATCCACTATCATTGTACCCCTTCCCTCGATTCTAGCGCCCAGTATTTTTCCTCCTGGCCAAGAACTTTTCAACTTCTCTATGTCAACTTTTTCCGTCTCCCCAACAGAATCCTGGCTTTCAGCATTTCTGGCTCATCCAGATGTGTTAGAGTTCATTCAGATGTGTTAGAATTCATCCAGGTGTGTTAGAATTCATCCAGGTGTGTTAGAATTTGAGATGCGAATTTGACTGTGTTCAAAGATTCTGTACTGAGAGTGGGCTCAGGTAGAAGGAGAGGGTAAGAGGCCCGGGGGGATTCTGCGGAGCCGAGAAAGGTCCAGGGGCCTTGGGGGGCGAGCACAGCCCAGGAGAAGCCCTGAGGTCGGGGTGGAGGAGCTGGGAGCAGAGCAGGGCCCAGGGTCCAGCGTGGGGCATGTGCACTCCCGCGGGCGGGAGCCCAGGACGGCCCCTGGGGGCCAGGAGGTGACGAGGTGGGCTCCAGGCTGGTGTCTGTGTCTCTTCCTTGCAGGGCTGTGTGTCGGCCAAGCAGACGGGGGAAGAGCTGGTGAATGGTTCTCCATGGACCCTCCTGATCCTTCCCCCCCAGGGACCCGCACTTTCCCCTCCCCTCCTTGGGCTTCCCGAGAGCAGGTGGGAGGGGCGCCCCCAGACCTGAGACCCGCTTCCTTCCAGAGGCGCTTCCCAAACCCTCCCTCAGGGTCTGGCCCGGCTCGGTGGTCCCCGCCCGGAGCTCCGTGACCCTGCGATGCGGGGCTCCCACCAGGGACGTAAGCTTCACTCTCAGGAAGGGGGGACGCGTCTGGGAGATGGTCCAGTCACCCGACTCCACAGAGGGCTGGGCTGAATTCCACCTCCCCGATGTAACGTCCAGCCACGCGGGAGAATACAGCTGCGAATACCACGGGACGGGGGACCCCCGCGTGAGCTCACGGCCCAGTGACGCCCTGCTGCTGCTGGTGACGGGTGAGGGGGCGCCTGGGAAGGACGGCAGGCCCGGGGCCAGGGGACGAGGGAGGGAGCGGACCAAGAGACGGAGAGCGGGTCTCCCCTCCAGGGTTGTTGGGAGGGGAGATGGAGAGAGGCAGGGACCGAGGTGATGCCTTGGCTTGATCCAGGGCTCCTAGGAGGGAAACACCTCCTTCCTGGAATCAGAGGGGAAAAGAGGGTGAGGTCAGGTATCAGTCCTTCCCCCACTCCATGAGAACCCCCTGCCAGGAGAACAGGGGCAGCAAGGGACCCAAGGCTTCTCTCTGTGACCGCGGAGCCCTCCTGCTCTCACAGGAGGTTCACGCAAACATGAGCCCAGACGGCCAGAAACTGGGCACGGGTAAGTCCTGTGACGGTGCTCTTTTTTTAATTTAAACTTTTAATTTAAACCTGTAAGTGCCTGGACTTAATAAGTCTCTACTGGAGAGGAACTGTAAATGGAGGCCCTTTGTGAAGCGTCCCCTTCCCCACCCAAGCCCTGCTCACCACTTGCCCCCATAAAACTTCCACCTGCAGCCTCTGGGTTTTTTGGTGTTTTGTTTTGTTTTGTTTTGTTTTGTTTTGTTTTGTTTTGTTTTTTGCCATTTCCGCCTGTTTTAGATTGTGACAGGTTTTAGAGCCTGATTGCAACCGCGCATCTTCCAGGGAGTTCTTTTTGACTCTGGCCCCTCCAGGGACCTCCGACAGCACTATAATTCGTATTTTTTTGTTGTTGTTCATTGAATTCTACTTTGCAAATTCAACTTTCTGCTTAACCTAATGTGAGGAGGAGAGCCGGGGCTTGAACCCACCTACCCTCCACCAACTCTAGGAAGGTATTCAACGCAGAGTTTGTGTGCGTGTGTGTTCAGTTGTGTACGACTCTTTGCCACCCCACGGACTGTAGCCCGCCAGGCTCCTCTGTCCACAGGATTTCCCAGGCAAGCATACTTCAGTAGCTGCCGTTTCCTTCTCCAGGGGATCGTCCTGACCCAGGGCTGGAACCCGCATCTCTCGCGTCTGCTGAATTGACAGGTGGATTCTTTACAACTGCTGCCACCTCAGCACACAGTAGGCCATCAATAAATAACAGACTCGTTTTCGATGCATATCACACACATGATTCCCGAAAGGGAGGAAAGGTGGATCGGCCAGGCCCTGAGGACTACAAGTCCCATGAGCCCGAGCGGGCCTGGCCCAGGTTACCGGGCGCTGGGGGGCGGGGCCCGCGGCTGGGTTTTTGCGGTGAGCAGAGCTCCTGCCACCGAAATGCACCAATAAACGCTGGAGCATTTCCCGGGGAAGGGTCGGGGGAGGGCGGCGGGCTCTGACCGGCCGGGAGTCGAACGGCATTCGTGTGGGCGGACACTGCACTTCTGCTGTGTTTGGGCAGCGAACGCAGGACGCACGGTCTACCGCGGACCAGGAGAGGTCACCCCCGCGCCACGCGCCTCGCTCCCCACTCGCCCACCCCACGCCCGCAGCCTGGCGTTTGCTCTCGCGGGCGTGCGGGCGCGGCGGTCCGCGGGCCTGCGCCCTGCGCTCCTCCCCAGTCCGAGCGTGCGCGCCGCCAGCTAACCATCCACCGAGGTGGCCGCCCCAGGAGCCGCTGCTGACCCGCGGTGTGTCCTAGAAGAAGCCTAAGCGTGGGGTCCCCGGGGGTCTCTCGCGTCCTGGTGAGGAAGAACCGTGTCTCCAGTGGGCTCGCTCCCCGCCGACCACCGGAGTCGCCAGATGAGCGGGCGTTCCGGGGGAGGATGCTCCCGAGCCCCATCGTCGGAAGCGGCCGCCAGCGCCCTGGAGGGCCTCCCCGTCGCCTCTCGTGGGTCAGGGCGCGGAGGGGCGAGCAGGTAGCGGGGCGCGGGTGCGGCTGGTAGCGCCCTCTCGGCGGTGAGGGTGGGCGGCGGGGTGGGGAGGCTAGGGGGCTTGCCTTTGCCCTCCCGCTGCCTCTGCCCTGCCGGGAGGAGAGGGGGCTGTTTGATTTCAGGTGCTAGAGTGTGGCATTCTAAAGAGCGCCCTAAATATGTGAGAGGTTCTTTTTCTCTCCAGCGTCTGCTGTTAATGTAACCGACGTACTACTTTTTGAAGTCTTAAAATCGGGCACGCTAGGCATGCTCACTGTCATGTCATTTTAAGAAAACTGAATAAATTTCACATGTTGTCGGTCAGTTGCTAAGTCGTGTCCTATTCTTTGGGACCCCATGAATTGTAGCCCTCCAGGCTCCTCTGTCCATGGGATTTCCCAGTCAAGAATCCCAGAGCGGGTTGCTATTTCCCTCTCCAGGGGGATCTCCCTGACCCAGGGATGGAACCCTCGTCCCTTGTATTAGCAGGCAGATTCTTTACCCCTGAGCCGCCTGGGATGCCCAGATTTCACCTGTAACATTGTGCAGATTTCAGGTGTATAGCTGTTACTTTAATACACTTATATACTGTTGTATATAAATGTTGTGTTTATCACATTGCATAATTATACTATAGTGTTTCCATCTGTGTGCGTTGTATGGCTGTGCGTTAGATGGCTATGGCTTATTTACTGCTTCTTACAAATGTGTACCCTTCGCTCCGTCTGTCTTACCCACCCCACCCCTCCGTCAGCCACTGTAAACACAGTTTTACTCTCTTATNTTGCATAATTATACTATAGTGTTTCCATCTGTGTGCGTTGTATGGCTGTGCGTTAGATGGCTATGGCTTATTTACTGCTTCTTACAAATGTGTACCCTTCGCTCCGTCTGTCTTACCCACCCCACCCCTCCATCAGCCACTGTAACCACAGTTTTACTCTCTTATTTTCTATAGGTTTGACTTTTTTATTTGGGGGTGGGTATTTTTTTGCTTTTATGGGGTGTTTTTTTAGGATATTAGTTCTTGCAGGATATTAGTTCTCTGACCTGGGGTTGAATGCAGGCCAACCACAGTGAAAACTCTGAGTTCTAAGCACTGAACCACCCAGGAATTCCCCTTAACTTTTTAAATTCCCTGTATAAGTGATATCATAGAGGACTTGCTTTCTGTGTATGACTTATCTCACTTAGCTTAATGACTTCAGGGTCCACCTGTGGTGTCACAGATGGCAGGATGTCCTCCTTTTTCATGGCTGTATAATATTCCATCCTGTGTATGTGCCATATCCGTTTACCCATGCATCTGTTGTTAATTAGTTTGGGTGGGTTTCCATATGTTGGATATTGTGAATAACGTGTTAAACACGGGAGGGTGGGTATCTTCTTAAAAATCCTGTTTTTGTTCCCAGGAGTGAAATTGCTGGATCCTATGGTAGATCTAGTTTTAATTTGGGAGGAAAACTCCATATTGTTTTCCATAGTGGTTGGACCAGTTTACATCCCCACCCATGATGTGTGGGGTTCCCTTTTCACCACATCCTCACCAGCACCCGTTGTTTCTCGCCTTCGTGATGGTAGCCCTTCTAACAGCTGTCAGGTGATGGCTCATTGTGGTTTGAATTTGCATTCCACTCATAATTAGTGATGTTGAGCATCTTTTCACGTGCCTGATGACCGTTTGGGTGTCCTCTCTGGAAAAATGCACTTCTCTGGTATTCACTGAAGAAGAGCTCCTTTTGAATTTTCTTGTAAGGCAGGTCTAGTGTTAAATTCTGTCAACTTTTTTCTGTCTGGGAAAGCCTTTATTTCTAATTCACATAGGAGAGGTAACTCTTCTGGATAGAGTTTTGTTGGGTGACAGTTTTTATCTTTCAGTGTTTTGAAAATGTCATTCCACTCTCTCCTGGTCTGTGGCTTCTGCTGAGAAATCTGCTGATAGCCTAGTTCCTTTGTAGATGGGCTGGTGGCTCAGGTGGTGCAGAAACCACCTGTAGTGTGAGACTGGTTTGACCCCTGGGTTGGGAAGACCCCCTGGGAAAGGAAATGGCAACCCACTCCAGTAGTCTTGCCTGGAGAATCCCATGGACACAGGAGCCTGGCGGGCTACAATCCAAAGGGTCTCGAAGAGTCGGACATAACTGAGTGAGTAACACTTTCAGTTTGTAGATAGTTATTCCATGGCTGCCTTTGAAATTCTTTCTCACTGACGTTTGACAGTTATAATGTCATGTGTCTTGGAGAAGGTCTTTTTGGCATTGAGTTAACGAGGTGTTCTCTTAGCTTCATGGACATCCAGATCCTCCCCCAAATTGGGGAATTTCTCAGCTATTATTTCTTAAATAAGCTCTCTCACCTGCCCCTGCTGCCCCATCTCCCTCTCTTCTGGGATCCCCTTTATCCTAATGTTGCTCTTCATAATGCAATCAGACAGCTACTGTAGAGTTTTCTCATTTTCTAAGGTCTTAGTTCCTTCTCCTCTTCTACCTGTATCATTTCTAGATTTCTTTTGTCTTGCTAATTCTCTCTTCCTTATGGTATGCTCAATTTCCAGTGCTTTCAAATGCATCCTTCTGTTCATTTATTGAGTTTTTCAACTCTAGAATTTCTGTTTGGTTCTTTTTTTAGTGTTTTAATCTCTTTAATAAAGTATTCTTTCCGCTCATTATATTTATTTTTTGCCAGCACTTAATACTCAGTCTTTTAATTTTTATTTTATGTTGAAGCATAGATTATAATATTGTGTTACAGGTGTACAACAACATGATTCAGTTACACATTTACATATATCTATTTTTCAGATTCTTTTCCCATTTAGGTTATTACAGAGAATTGAGTAAGTAGAGTTCCCTGAGCTATACAGTAGGTCCTTGTTGGTTATCTATTTTATATGTAGTAGTGTGTATATTGTTTATTTCAGTCTCCTAATTTACCCCTTCCTCTGTTTGCCCTTTGATAACCATGCATTTGTTTTCTAAGCCTGTGAGTCTGTTTCTGTTTTGTAAATAAGTTCACTTGTGTCATTTTTTTTTTTAGATTGCACATATAAGTGGCATCATATGATATGTCCTTCTTTGTTTGACTTACTTCACTTTCTGTGATAATCTCTAGGCCCATCCATTGTTCATTAATTTTATTCTTGAGCTTATTGAACTGCCTTTCTGAGTTTTCTTGTAACCTGTTGAGTTTCTTCATGATAGCTGTTTTCAATTACCTATAAGTTAGATCAGAATGTTCATCACTTTTAAGTTTGTTTCTGGAGAATTTTCATTTTCTTTTACAATACTATGTTGCTGGGAGCCGGCACACGAGATCCCACCCATGACAAGGTCACGAGGAGAAAGCCTGACAGGCATGGTGGATCAGGTTTTCAGGGATTCCGAAAAGCTGCCCCCGGCGCTCACCTTAAAGATGATATCTGTTTTTCTGATGCTTGCTTTAATAGACTACTCCCTAATTTCTGTGACATAGGCAGAAGGCCTTCCTCTATCTCTTTTCAAATAAGAATTAATTTAGAATTTTAATCAATAAGTTTCCCAGGTGGTGGTATTTTATGAGATTATTTAGGTTGAAAGGAGTGTTTTAATTTAAACTCCTTTGCTGGTATTTTAGTTTGTTTGGCAAATGCGTTTATGCCCTTGGTGCTAATATGCATGATTGCTTATATTATTTTAATTAGCCTAAAGAACCTGATCATACAAAGGCCCTAATAGATATAGAGCCCTTTGAGGGGTGAAGGAGCCCTATTAGAAAATATAAGAAAAAATTATTATGAAGGTGGTTATTGGGCTAACGTTTGCTTGCTGTGTTTTTGCTTTTAATGTGCTAAGGCTGTGCTATGGAAACCATTGTTAATATAGTTATAGATCTAGAAAAATAAGAGCTTAGCCCTAGTGTTGTAACAATGAAGTAGTTATTAATTATTAGCCAGGAGTGCTAGGCAGAGGCTGCCTCACCGAAGCCACAGAGTCTGTATGGGGTAAAACTCTTAGATAAACCTAACTGACAACTTTTGCAGAAGAATTGATGTTGGTATTAACAGGGTCATACTTCTACTATGTTGGGACATGCTGTGCTGTTGCCCTATGAGACTGTAACTTTTCTGTTAAGATCACCACAGAAACAGAAAATAGGTTTGCATTCACCTGACTTACATAAAATGTTCATAAGCCCCAAGGCCAAAAGATAATGCACAAAGATTTATTATAGAAGCAGAATGCAGAAAACATCTTGTTCTTCCTAAAGGACAAACTGATGTAATGTAAACTAACCCTGTACAAGCATGAGTAAGCATCTTGTATCTTGGATACATTCTGAGTGAGGGTATATAAACTGTTGTCAAAAAATAAAAGATAGACTTGGCCCTGTCAAGGCTGGTCTCACGTGTCTTCTCTCTCTCGCCGACGCCGTTCATCCCGAGGGTACCCCCCGGATCCTGCCCAGGCTGGACCCCGGCACTATGTTACTGTAGCTTTTCGTGGCACTTGATGAGTTGTCCTCCGCTGGTACATTTGAAGCAGCAAACACCTTGCTTCTTCACGTAAAGCTTTTTGCTTGTCTGTTTTGCTTGATCCCAGGTGGTTCAGTGGTAAAGAATCTGCCTGCCAATGCAAGAGACACAGGAGACCTGGGTTCCATCTCTAGGTTGGGAAGATCCCCTGGAGGAGGAAACGGCAACCCACTCCAGTGTTCTTGCCTGGAGAATCCCATGGACAGACGAGCCTGGCAGACTACAGTCCGTGGGATGGCAAAGAGTCGGCCACGACTGAGGGCCTGAGCATGCACACAGAGCAGTTCAACAGGTGAGTAACTGCAGCCCTTTCTTTTCTCAGTAGGTGGTGATGGAGTGCAAGTTTTTGGTTGGTCCCACCTGAGCTGCTGTTTCTCCACATCCTTGCCAGCATTGGTCATTTGCAGACTCTTTGACGATAGCCATTCTGACAGGTGTGAGGCGATATGTCGGTTTTCTTTTGATTTGCACTTCTCTAATAACTAAGGATGTTGAGCATCTTTTCATGTGCCTGTTGGCCATTTGTATGTCTTCTGTAGAGAAATATCTATTCAAGCCGTCTGCCCATTTTTTAAGCAGGTTGTTTGTTTTTCTGATGTTGAGTTGTGTGAGCTGTTTATGTATTTGGATGTTAACCTCTTATCATCATATTATTTACAAATATTTTCTTCCATCCTGCAGGTTGCCTTTTCATTTTGTCTATGGTTTTCCTTTGCAGTGCAAAAGCTTTTGATTTTAACTGGGTCAGTTTATGTTTGTTTTTATTTCTTTTGCCTTAGGAGACAGATTCCAAGGAATATTGCCAAGATGTATGTCCAAGAATGTTCTTCTGTATTTGCTTCTAGGAGTTCTGTGGTTTCAGGTGTTATGTTTAGGTCTTTAATCTGGTTTTAGTTTATTTTAGTATATGGTGTGAAGAAATCTGGGGGGCTGTGATTGTGTGCATAGCACTGTCTTAAGTGTTTTCATGTACTAACTGAATTAGTTCTTTTTTAATTTATTTTTAATTGAAGTATAGTCCATTTACAGCATTGTGCCAATCTCTGCTTTACCACAAAGTGACTCTTATACACATATGGACATTCTTTTTTTAATATTCTCTTCCATTATGGTGTACCACAGGATATTTAACATACTTCCCTAGTAATACCCTAATCTCGTTCTTTTGCATGTAACTGTCCAGTTTTCCCAGCACCACTTATTGAAGAAGCTGTCCCTTGTATATGGCCTTCTTTGTCATAAATTAATTGACTGTTAATGTGCAGGTTTATTTCTGGGCTCTTTACTCTGTTCCATTAATCTATGTGTCTGTTTTTGTTCCAGTGCCATGCTCTGTTGAATACTGTAGCTTTTTATTGTAGTCTGAAGTCTGGGAGAATGATAGCTCCAACTTTGTTCTTTTCTCTCTAACTTCTTTTGCAAATTCAGGATCTTTCGCGCTTTTGTGTGAATTTTAGGAGTATTTGTTCCAGTTCTGTGAAAAATGTCATGGGTAATTTGATAGGGGTTGCATTAAATCTATAGATTTCTTTGGGTAGTATGGCCATTTTAACTATTAATACTTCTAATCCAAGAACATCTGATATATTTCCATTCCTTTGAATCATCTCCAGTTTTATTCATCAGTGTTTTATACTTTTCAGAGTATAGGTCTTTCACTTCTTTGGCTTACTTTGTTCCTAGATATTTTATTGTTTTTGATGTGATTTTAAATGAGTTTTTGTTTTTAAAGCTTTCTCTTTCTGATAATTCATCATTAGTGTATGGAAAAGCAACAGATTTCTATATACTAGTCTTATATCCTGTAACTTTGGTGAATTCATTTATCCTCATGGTTTCTGTGGGGAGTTTTTTGGGTCTGCCTAATGTCAGCTTGTTGGATTTGATATTGTTTGGGGTGAATAATGGACCACTGGGACCAATGATGGACCAATGAACCAGGTGAAGGGCACACGTATCTGAGTTATTTTTCCAGCTTCCTGTGAATCTAAAATGATTTCAAACACATGACTGAAGGGGAAAATGCAATCTAAAATAGACAGGGACAGTCATGCCTAGGAAACCAGAGCATGACTAAAAGCTGTTCCCTGTGAGATCAAGGTGGAGACTGCAGCAAGCAGACTGGGGCGTGAGCGACTCCTGTGTATTGAAGTACAGCCACACTGCCTGTAAACCCAGAGTGCTATCCATTTTGACTGCGTGGGAGCAGGGAGCGACCAGAGGGGTCTGTTCTCGGAAGGATCCATGGCTTTCACTAACTGGGTTGAGAGACAAGTTCTCTTGGTGCCTGAAGCTGCTAAGAACACGAGTGAGTCAGTGTCAGTCGCTCAGCCGTGTCCCAACTGTGCAGTCCTGTGGACCGTAGCCCACCAGGCTCCTCTGTCCATAGGATTTCCCAGGCAAGAATACTGAAGTGGTTGCCATTCCCTCCTCCAGGGGATCTTCCCGACCCACGGATGGAACCCGCGTCTCTTGTGTCTCCCTCATTGGCAGGCAGATTCTTTACCACTGAGCCGCCTGGGAAGCCCTTCAGTAGCATGTTTCCTTCTAAATCCTGAATCCCTTTTGTCTGTAACTCCTCCATCTTGGAGGACCATCTTTCACACTTCTGTCCCACCACCCCTAGGCTGGAGAAATGCAGTTTGATGGCCGCTTGCTTCCAGCCGCTGTCCTCTGTTCTCAGAAGCAGTAAAAGCCTGGAGAACCTGAACCTTTTAGGAAACGACCTGGGGCTGGATGGAGTCAGCAGGCTGTGGACGCCCTTGAGAAAGTCAGCGTGCAAGCTTCAGAAACTCGGGTAATCCCCCCGACTCCTACACGGGGAAGTGGCTGTTGGGATGGAGATGAATGGGACGAGGTCCTAAAGCAAGCCTACAGTTCAGTTAACCAGGGCATCCCGTTTGCCAGGGCGTCCGGTTTCCCAGGGCATCCAGTTTCCCAGGGCGTTTGGTTTCCCAGGGCGTCCGGTTTCCCAGGGCATCCAGTTTCCCAGGGCGTCTGGTTTCCCAGGGCGTCCGGTTTCCCAGGGCGGTTCTGGCCGGCAGAGCTTCTGGGGTCATGTGTGGTGGTCTGTATCCACATTGTCCAGCAGGGAGCCGCTGGCCACGCACAGGTACTGGACACTTGAAATGTGGTTCCTGTGATGGACAAGCTGACTTTTTAATCTTTAGGCTGAATTAACCAGCCATGTGTGGCTGGTGGTCCCGCCTGGATGGCGCAGGCCTACGCACTTGGGTGTTTTGGGGAGTGAGTCCCCTACTTTTCTGATCCTGGCACCGACTGTGTCTCACTCAGACGTTCACTCAGCGACTTCCTTCCCAGTGCTGACCTTGGCCGAGCACGAGGGCATGGCAGTTGGTGTGACACACGGTTCTGGGCCTTTTCATCGTGGTGTGTGTTTGTCTTTGGGAAAAAACAAATCAGAGAAAGCAGGGTTACCTGCCATGAATGCTGGGAGGGAAGCTTCAGGTTGTGGTGGAGATCAGGGTGGTGAGGGAAGGCATGTCTGTGGGGGTCCCAGCGAGGCTGGGGGGACGAACCGTGTGTCAGGCAGGGAAGACAGACAGTGACTGCAGCTGAGGGAGGCATGTGCTTTGAGGAAGTCAGAGGAACGTGTGCGGAACCCCAAGGTTGGACCGAGCTCTGTGTGACCCTTAGGGTCACTGAAAGAAGAGCATTTATTTTTTATTTTTTAAACTTTTTATTTTGTATTGGGGTATAGCTATGAACAATGTTGTGATAGTTTCAGGTGAACATTGGAGGGACTCTGCATACATCTGCATGTATCCATTCTCCCCCAGTCCCCCCTCCCATCTGGGCCCCCACATAACACTGAGCAGAGTTCAATGTGCTGCATGGTACATCCTTGTTGGTTATCCGTTTTAAATACAGCCATGTGGATTTGTCCATCCCAAACTCCCTACCCACCCCGTTCTCACTGGCAACCGTAAGTTCGTCGGAAAGAAGAGCGGTTAATTAGAACACTTTCCACCTTGTTTAATATCCTGGAGATGAGGTCAGAAAGATAAGCAGCAGGGTTTTGTTTTTTTTTTTCTTAAGAAAGACATTAAACTAAGTATGTTTTAGCATGAATCCTCTTCAATACCAAGGAACCTTGCCCACTTTGAGAAGTTGGTCAAAATCTCTACATTGAGGATTTCATATTAGCAACGTCATAACTAAGATATACATTTAAAAAATTTTATTGGAGGATAGTTGTCTTTCAGTGTTGTGTTAATCTACTGTACAGCAAAGTGAATCGGCCACACGTATATATATGCATATTTTCCCTCTTTTTTGGATTCCCTGCCCATTTAGGGCACCACGGATCATTAAGTAGAACTCCCTAGGCTATACAGTAGGTTGTCATTAGTTACCTATTTTATACACAGTGTTTATATATGACAACCCCAATCGCCCAATTCATCCCAAACCCCTGTTCCCCCATTTGTGTCCATATGTTTGCTCTTGACATCTGTGTGTCTGTTTCTGCTTTTTAAATAAGATTATGTAGACTAGTTTTTTCAGATTCCATACATATGCATTAATATATGACATTTGTTTCCTCTTTTTGACTTACTTCACTCTGTTTGACGGTCCCTATGTCCATCCATGTCTCCACAAATGCTAAGTCATACATTTTTAAAAATTGAAGTATGACTGATTGATAATTGTGCTGGTTTCAAGCGTAAAGCAGAGTGATTCAGTTATGCATACGCGTCAATCGTATCTGTTCTTTTTCATGTTCTTTTCCCTTATGGGTTATTACAAAATATTGAACATAGTTCCCAGTGCTCTACAGCAAGTCCTTGCTGGTTTATTTTATATATATATATTTAATAGTCCTGTGTATATGTTCATTCCAAGCTCCTAATTTATCTCTCCCCCTCTTTTCCCCTTTGGTAACTGTAAAGTTTGTTCTCTATGTCTGTGTGTCTATTTCTGTTTTGTGTATAAGTTTATGTGTTTGTGCATATACAGACATATGTGTGTGTGTGTGTGTGTGTATTTATATATGTAAGATTCCACATATAAGTGATATCATATATCTGACTTCATTTAGTATGATCATCTCTAGGTCCATCCATGTTGTTGCCAAAGGCATTATTTCATTCTTTTTCATGGCTGAGTAATATTCCACTGTGACTATATGTCACATCTTTGCCCATTCGACTGTTGGTGGGAAATTAGGTTGCTTCCGTGTCTTGGCTTGTGTGAAACTTTTTGAAGTATAGCTTTGTCTGGCTGTATGCCCAGGAGTCAGGTTATGGGATCAGATGGTAACTCTTACTTTTTCCTCCTTACTGTTCTCCATTGTGGCTGCACCAATTTCAAGTCATGCGTTTTTCAAAGATCTGAGATGGTGACCACCACAGATGGACAAGTCTCCCCTTACTGATTGTGAATGTTACTCGTGTTGGGGAGGGGACTTCTGACTGGGCACCCAGACCCTAACCTCTTCTCAGAGAAGAGCGTGCCAAGACCTCCTCAAAAGTCTGTGAATGTGTGTTAGTAATACAAAGAAGAGGAGTTGGATTTCTGTACAGTGACAGCGACCTCAATTACCCTGTCCTGTTTGTTTCACCGTCTTTCCTGGGGATTTCCTGTCTCTTTCCTTTTGTGCTTTTCTATGGAAAGGAGCTCCAGTACCTTGGAATCTCTCTGCATGAAGCTGGAGGTAGAGCGATATCCTTGTGACGGTAAACAAAAGTTAGCTTCTCTTTGGGACACCTATTTTAGCATCTCATTCTGTCACCATCTCTTCTCCTTCTGCCTCTATTTTTGCAGCATTGAAAAAGATTCTTTGAAGATGGACTCCAGCCAGGAGGCCATGGGACGGGATAGGATCCCAACATCTCCTGTTATGGGAGAATGCCCTCTTCCTCTCTGACCCTGAACATATGCCCGTGTCTCCCTGGCCACACGGCTGGGAAATCTGTCACTCTTGACCTTTAAATCAAAGAGGGTTTAGCCCTGCCATAATTGTTGCCTGAAAATGTCCACAGGAGACAAAGCCCAGCTACTCACTCTGTTCTTGTCATTTCCATCTTGAAGTGCCAACAGGAGGCTGCTTGTAACTATCTAGCCTAGAGCCCACCTGCCTCCTTCCTCAGGAAATGTAAACAGGAGTCTAATTGTAAATGCCCAGCCTAGAGCCCACCTAACCCTACCTCAGGACCATATGGGGCTCCTGGGCACAAAGGCTTTTATCTGTCCCCTGTTCCTTTTTCTAAAATATTTTTTAATACCAAAAACATTTTGTATTGGGGTGTAGCCGATTAACCATGTTGTGGTAGTTTCAGGTCAACAGCGAAGGGACTCAGTCATACACGCATAAGTGTCCATTCTCCCGCAAACTGCCCTCCCATCCAGGCTACACCCAACACTGAGCAGATCTCTGTGTCTACAGTAGGTCCTGGTTGCTTCTCCTTTTTAAATACAGCAGTGTGTACATGACCTCCCAAAGTCCCTAACTATCTCTTCCCCTGGCAACCATACATTCATTTCCTAAGTCTGTGAGTCTCTTTCTGTTTTGTAAGTAAGTTCGTTTCTGCCCTTTGTTTCTTGTATCCAGACTCCAGCCTCCATGACCTGCCCTGAATTCCAAAGGGCAGCTTCAAGCAGTTGCTTCTCATGGAAGGAGCAGCCGAGAAATCACCTGAGACAAAATTAAAGGAACCAGTCAGTCCAGTCGCTCAGTCGTGTCCTACTCTTTGTGATCCCATGGACTGCAGCATGCCAGGCCTCCATGTCCATCACCAACTCCCGGAGTTTACCCAAACTCATGTCTGTTGAGTCGGCGATGCCATCCAGCCATCTCATCCTCTGTTGTCCCCTTCTCCTGCCTTCAATCTTTCCCAGCCTCCTCCATCCATGGAATTTTCCAGGCAAGAGTACTGGAGTGGGGTGCCATTGCCTTCTCCGTAACAGCAGCAGCATCCAAAAGCCCCCATACCTACACTGAAACCAAGCTCCACCCAAGAGCCAACAAGTTTCAGAGCAAGACATACCAAGCTACTTCTCCAATAAAGCAGGAACATAACCCTGAGCACAAAAATACAGGTGGCCAAAAGTCACACCAAACCCATAGACATCTCGAAACTCACTACTGGACACTTCTTTGCACTCCAGAGAGAAGGGATCCAGCTCCACCATCCAGAACACTGACACAAGCTTCCCTAACCAGGAAACTTTGACAAACCACTCGTCCAACCCCACCCATAGGGAGGAACCTCCACAAAAAAGAGGAACCACAAACTGCCAGGATACAGAAAGGCTACCCCAAACACAGCAACCTAAACAAGATGAAAAGGCAGAGAAGTATTCAGCAGGTAAAGAAACATGATAAAAGCCCACCAAACCAAACAAAAGAGGAGGAGATAGAGAGTCTAACTGAAAAAGAATTCAGAATAGTGACAGTAAAAATGACCCAAAATTTTGAAAACAAAATGGAGGTACAGATAGTCTGGAGACAAGAATGGAGAAGATGCAAGAAAAGTTTAACAAGGACCTAGTAGAAATAACAAAAACAGTCAATCAATAATGAATAATGGAATAGCTAGCTGAGATCAAAAGCACTCTGGAGGGAACCAACAGGAGAATAACTGAGGAAGAAGATAGCAGAGTCCATGTGGGGTAAACTTCTTAGATAAATGCAACTGACAACTTCTGCAGAAGGATTAATTTTTGTGTTAACAAGGTTATACTTCTACTGTGTACTGTTGCCCTATGAGACTGCTACCTTTCAGTTAAGGTCACCATAGAAACAGAAAATAGGTTTACATTCACCTGACTTGCATAAAATACTAATAACCCCCAAGGCCAGAAGATAATATACAAGACCCCCATAAACAAAGAAGTATGCAGAAAACACACTGGTTTCGTGAAGAACAAGCTGATGTAATGTTAAACTATCTTCCCCTTAGAAATGTACTAATTTAGGGTATAAGAGCCACGGTAAAAAAATAAAGCATTGCCAGACTCTGCCAGACCCTGCAAACATCCCCATCTGGTCATTCTCTCTCTCTCTCTCTCTCTTTTTTTCTCTCTCTCCCTCGCAGACTTGGCCCTATCAAGTCTGGTCTCACATGTCTTCTCTCTCTCTCTCACTGATGCTGTTCATCCTGAAGATATCCCCTGGATCCTGCCAAGGCTGGACCCTGGCAATAAACCCACAGCAAACATTATCCTCAATGGTGAAAAATTGAAAGCATTTCCCTTAAAGTCAGTAATAAGACCAGGGTGCCCACTCTCACCACTGCTCAACATAGTTTTGGAAGTTTTGGCAAGAGCAATCAGATAAGAAAATGAAATAAAAGGAATCCAGATTGGAAAAGAAGTAAAACTCTCACTGTTTGCAGATGAGATGAGCCTCTATGTAGAAAACCCTAAAGACTCCACCAGAAAATTACTAGATTACTAAAAAATCACTAAATTATTAGAAAATTACTAATCTATGAATATAGTAAAGTTGCAGGATATAAAACTAACACACAGAAATCCCTTGCATTTCTATAAATGAACAATGAGAAAACTGAAAGAGAAATTAAGGAAATAATTCCATTCACCATTGTAACAAAAAGAATAAAATACTTAGGAATAAATATACCTAAAGAAACAAAAGACCTATAGATAGAAAACTATTAAACACTGATGAAGGAAATAAAAGAGGACACAAAGAGAATGGAGAAATATACCATGTTCATGGATTGGAAGAGTCAATATAGTGAAAGTGAGTATATTAGCCAAAGCAACCTATAGATTCAATGCAGTCAAGCTACCAATGGTATTTTTCAGAGAACTAGAACAAATAATTTCACAATTTGTATGGAAATAAAAAAAATCTCCAATAGCTAAAGCAATCTTGAGAAAGAAGAATGGAACTGGAGGAATCAACCTACCTGTCTCCAGACTATACTACAAAGTTACAGTCATCAATACAGTATGGTACTGACACAAAGACAGACATATAGATCAGTGGAATAAATTAGAAAGCCCAGAGATAAATCCACACATCTATGGACACCTTATATTTGACAAAGGAGGCAAGAATATACAATGGAGAAAAGACAATCTTTTTAGCATGTGGTACTGGGAAAACTGGTCAGCCACTTGTAAAAGAATGAAACTGGAACATTTTCTAATACCATAAACAAAAATAAACTCAAAACGGATTAAAGATCTAAATGTAAGACCAGAAACTATAAAACTTCTAGAGGAAAACATAAGCAAAGCCACTCTCTGAGATAAATCATATCAGGATCCTCTATGACCCACCTCCCAGAGTAATGGAAATAAAAGCAAAAATAAACAAATGGGACCTAATTAAAATTAAAAGCTTTTGCACAACGAAGGAAAGCATAAGCAAGGTGAAAAGACAGCCTTCAGGATGGGAGAAAAGAATAGCAAACAAAGCAACTGACAAAGAACTAGTCTCAAAAATATACAAGCAACTCCTGCAACTCAATTCCAGAAAAATAAAGGACCCAATCAAAAAATGGGCCAAAGAACTAAACAGACATTTCTCCAAAGAAGACATACATATGGCTAACAAGCACATGAAAAGATGCTCAACATCACTCATTATCAGAGAAATGCAAATCAAAACCACAATGAGGTGCCATCTCACGCCGGTCAGAATGGGCTCTATCAAAAAGTCTACAAACAATAAATGCCAGAGAGGGTGTGGAGAAAAAGGAACACCCTTACACTGTTGGTGGGGATGCAAACTAGTACAGCCACTATGGAGAACAGTGTGGAGCTTCCTTTAAAAACTGGAAGTAGAATGGGCATACGACCCAGCAATCCCACTGCTGGGCAAACACACCAAGGAAACCAGAATCGAAAGAGACACATGTACTGCAGTGTTCATCACAGCACTGTTTACAATAGCCAGGACATGGAAGCAACCTAGATGTCCATCGGCAGGCGAATGGGTAAGAAAGCTGTGGTACATATACACAAGGAATATTATTCAGCCTTTAAAAAGAATGTATTTGAATCAGTTCTAATGAGGTTGATGAAACTGGAGCCTATTACACAGAGTGAAGTAAGTCAGAAAGAAAAACACTAATACAGTATATTAACACACATATATATATGGAATTTAGAAAGATGGTAATGGTGACCCTATATGCAAGACAGCAAAAGAGACACAGATGGAAAGAACAGACTTTTGAACTCTGTGGGAGAAGGTGAGGGTGGGATGATTTGAGAGAATAGCATTGAAACATGGATATTATCATATGTGAAATAGGTCACCAGTCCAGGTTCAATACATGGAACAGCGTGCTCAGGGCTGGTGCACTGGGATGATACTGAGGGATGGGATGGGGAGGGAGGTGGGAGGGGGGTTCAGGATGGGGAACACATGTACACCCTTGGCTGGTTCATGTCAATGTATGGCAAAAGCTACCACAATGTTGTAAAGTAATTAGTCTCCAATTAAAATAAATAAATAAATTTAAAAAATTATGTCTCCTTTCATTGCCAATTCCTTTTATTCAGGTGGTCTGGACCCAGCCAGCAATATTTCCAAGGTATGCCTGTATGTGTGATCTTTTTGAATTAATTAATAAATCTCCTGTTTGGGTCATACCATTTATTTTATCTTATAGGCTGCAGTTTGAAACTCACTGGATCTTAGTTCCCTGATCGGGGATGGAACCTGAGCCCCAGGCAGTGGAAGCACAGAGTCCTCACCACTGGACCACCAAGGAATTCCCTCTACTAATATCAGAGAGAGTGCACCATTTTCTTTCCTGGAAAACTGCCCACACTCCAGTTTTGGCCGATTGTGTTTTCAGTTGAAATGTGAATATATCCCTTATGTCTGCTATGAGGTGGTAGTTGATCCAAAAGCTTGATTGTATTCTGATTCAACTTTTCATCAAGGCTATGTTCCAGGAAGTGTTCTTTATTGGTATCTGGTTGTCCCACATCAGAAAGGGTAGAGTGTTAATTAGGTGATGTCAACCTGTTCCATCAAAGTTTCACCTGGCAGTGTCAGTTCAATTCAATCACTCAGTTGTGTCCAGTTCTTTCTGACCCCATGGGCTGCAGCACGCCAGGCTTCCCTGTCCATCTCCAGCTTCCAGAGTTTACTCAAACTCCTGTCCTTGGAGTCAGTGATGTCATCCAACCATCTCATCCTCTGTCATCCCCTTCTCCTCCTGCCTTCAATCTTTCTCAGCATCAGGGTCTTTCCAAAGGAGTTAGCTCTTCGCATCAGGTGGCCAAAGTATTGGAGTTTCAATGTCAGCATCAGCCCTTCCAATGAATCTTCAGGACCGATTTCCTTTTTGNTATGATGGACTGGTTGGATCTCCTTGCAGTCCAAGGGACTCTCAAGAGTCTTCTCCAACACCACAGTTCAAAAGCATCAGTTCTTTGGTGCTCAGCTTTGTTTATGGTCCAAGTCTCACACCCACCCATGATTACTGGAAAGACCATAGTTTTGTAGACAGACTTTTCAGCTAAGTAATGTCTCTGCTTTTTAGTATGCTGTCTTGGTTTGTCATACGTTTTCTTCCAAGGAGCAAGCATCTTTTAATCTCATGTCTGCAGTCACCATTTGCAGTGATTCTGGAGTCCAAGAAAATGAAGTCTGTCACTGTTTCCATTGTTTCCCCATCTATTTGCCATGCAGTGATGGGACTGGATGCCACGATGTTCCTTTTTTGAATGTTTAGTTATAAGCCAACTTTTTTTACTCTCACCTTTCATTTTCATCAAGAGGCTGTTTAGTTCTC